GTGCGCCCGGGATCCGAACCTGGGCCGCCAGCAGCGGAGCGCGAGCACTTAACCGCTAAGCCATGGGGCCGGCCCGAAAGTTGCTATTCTTAATGTCAGTTTGAAGTTACTCTTTCAGATAAAAGGAATGTAGGAAGTGGACTGAAACTGTGCTAACTCTGGTATGAGTATATGTTGGAATTATTTCTTTTGACCATATTTGTATCAGTTTTTTTCTTTTATTTCCTGCCTCACCCCTTTTTACTCCACTTTTAAAAGTTCCTTTTATTAAAAGTTTCCGGTTACTTGAAGTTCATGCTATTCTACCATTTTCGAGGACTTTTTTTGGACAGGTAGTAACATTTGTGGTTTGGAAAAATCATAATATGCATTTTAAAAAGAAGAATTTCCTGAATTCTATGTTTTAACATTTGTAAATTCAATTTTATGTTATTGAAAAATTAAAAAAACAAACTTGTAGATTTTTAAAGAAGAATGTGGAGACTATAGTAGGGTTTTGTTTTAAATGTATGAAATGCTTAAGGAATCTTGTATATGTGCTGATTCACTGTGGGTATTCCTCCAGAACATTAGCAGTGAAGCCCTATCCATGGTGCATACATCTGTAGAAGAGGAAGGAAATTATGAAAAGGAAAGATCAAGTCAGTTGATTCATTTGAAGACATCTTCACAGACTTCTGAACTTGGTAAAACAGAAGACCAAGGGATGCAATCTCTAGATGTTCCAGAGCAGTTTTCAGATATTAATTTAAGGTACGAGTATATAGATCTGTGTGCTTTTAAAGAAAAAACATATCAAGTTATATTTGCCGATTATGTTAAACTAAGTGAGGTTTCAAGACATAGTATCTATAGCATAGTGTTAGAGGTTTTAAGCTAGTTTTGGGAAGACTGGGAGAGAGGATTGAGGTCCTTCTGACAGTTGATTGTGAGAATTACTAACCTACAGAACTGGATGTAACACATACTCCTAAGCCACTATGGGTATAACAAACCTATATTTTCTTTATGCAAAGATGATATAATTCCTAGGCTTATACGTGGATTGTACCACTGTTTTTCAGCATCTACGAAATAGTCCGATTTGTTTTCCTGTTAAGAATTAGAATGAAACATTTACTGCCGGTGTCTAAGGTTGTCCTAAGACTCCGCTCCCACTGCCCTTCAGTTCATTCTAAAGCTTGATAATCCTTGTTCCAAAAGCAAATCTCTTCCTCAAGAACAGAAGCCATTTGAAGTTAAACCAGCACCTTTTGTGAGAAGTCGATTCAAAAGACCAAAGCCAAACTTAGCGAGAGCAGCTTTAAAGAGAGAGACTATGGAAACAGGAACATTTGTGCCTGGGAAGAAATTGGAAACCAGTAAAATGGAGACTGGTGTGATGCAACAGAGCACAGAACAGACGAATATGCTCCCTTCTCAACACGTGAGTGATATTGAAGATGGAGGGTTTATTTCAGTTACTATGGTTACTAAAGTAAAACATCTGGAATTGGATTTTCACAAATATTTCCTCAGATAATTTTTACTGTGTGTGATAAGATTGTTCCTGTACTAATAGTGACTCCTTGTTCCACAAGGTTTGTGTAGGAACCTCAGCTCTCTGATGATGGGCAAGGGTGTCACAGGAAGGAATTGCAGAGGTCGGGACTCTAGTTCAAGTTCTGACCTTTATTCTTTGTGTGACCAGAGCCAGATGATGCAACCAGTTTCTTGATAGGAAAAATGAGAACAGCAGTCCTTTATTTTACTCTGTTGTGAAGGTGAAATAAAAAGTTAGAAGCTTGATGTGATTTAAAGGAGATATTTTATTTACTTCATTAACTTGGTCCATAACAGTTTAAGACTGTGCGATATGGCATCAAAAACTTTGAAATGAATTGTTAACACTCATAAGTTGTGTTCTAAACATATAAACTTTTTTGAATTAAAATTCTTCTTTTACATTTTAAAATAGCTTAGTTCTTACTGTGCTTGAACATTTGTACTTTTTCCTCCTAATCTTATATTTGAAAAAGGTAAATTGCTTTTTTTTTTTTTTTTTTTTGCTGAAGAAGATTCACCTTGAGCTAACATCTGTGCCAGTCCTCCTCTATTTTGTATGTAAGTCACTGCCATAGCATGGCTCATGAGTGGTGTAGGTCCGCGCCTAGGATCTGAACCTGTGAACTCGGGCCACCAAAGTGGAGTGTGCTGAACCCAAACACTAGGACATTGGGCTGGCCCCTGGTAAATTGCCTTTTTTTTTTTTTTTTGTGAGGAAGATCAGCCCTGAGCTAACATCCATGCCAATCCTCCTCTTTTTTTGCTGAGGAAGACTGGCCGTGGGCTAACATCTGTGCCTATCTTCCTCCACTTTATATGGGACGCTGCCACAGCATGGCCTGACAAGCGATGCATCAGTGCGTGCCCGGGATCTGAACCTGGCCCGCCAGCAGCGGAGCGCGCGCACTTAACTGCTACGCCATGGGGCTGGCCCCTAAATTGCTTTTTTATTTTATCTGATTATAAAAATTTCAAATTGGAGGGCTGGCCCCATGGCTTGGCGGTTGGATGTGTGCACTACGCTGCTGGCGGCCTGGGTTCGGATCCCGGGCGCGCGCCGACGCGCCGCTTCTCTGGCCATGCTGAGGCCACGTCCCACATACAGCAACTAGAACGATGTGCAGCTATGGCATACGGCTATCTACTGGGGCTTTGGGGGAAAAAAATAAATAAAAAATTAAAAAAAAAATATTTCAAATTGGAAAAAATATGTAATCCAAAAAGTGAGAGTTCTTTATCATGTCCCATCTCTCCCTCCCAAGTTAGTCATGTAGTGATTTTGAATGTATCCACCTAGACTTTTCTGTATAGATACTTATTTACATAAATAATGTGTGTGGGTATTTTCATTATTTTACACAAATGGCATCATAGCTTGCCTTCTGATTTTTCCACTTAACATGATATTGTGAACATCTCTTTAGATCAGTATATAGAAATTTTTCTTCTTTTAAATGGCTCTGTACTGTTGCATTATAAAAGCATTATCATTTATTTATTCAATCCCCTGTTAATAGTGTTGTGTTGTTTCCAGTTCTTTTGTTTTGTTTTTTTTTTCCTTTGTTTTTTGGGGGGGCTGTTACTGCTGTAATAAATATCCTTGTATATAATTTTCTAGATATTTATTTTTATAAGATACATTTGTAGAAGTAGAATTGCTAGATCTTAAAATTTTTGATAGTCCACTATTGTATTCTACAAAGACTAGACCAATTTACTTCTCTAATAGTATATGAGAGTTTCTGTTTCCTGATACTTTTACCAACCTCGATGATAGTTTCTTTATCTGCCTTCTAGAATGTGGCTTCCCTAATGACATCAAGAGGAAAAGACAAATCAGGTCACAGGCAGGAGGAGGCTGTGATATTATCATGTGTGCAGACTGAAAAGGAGCTGTCACCGTCCAGTTTTTGTGAACCTACTGAGGAGTCTCAGTCCACACAAGCCCAGGAAAAGGAACTAGTTGTTTCCATGGGGTAAACAGTGGTAGTTCTTTGAAAATCTAAAATAAGAGAGAATTCTTTCAAATTTTTTTAATTTTTATTAAGATGTGTTAATGTGAATATCAAGAGTACTTGGCTCATTTTTATTCATATGGCAGACTGCCTGAAATAGAAAATCGAACTGAGTTCAACACCTTTTAATGCTTGCCTGCTTATATTCACTGTTAGCTGCTAAAGATCGTATACATAGCAATGCATTTAAAAAAATATATATATGTATTCATTACCTTTTTTAAAACTAGTAAAATACATATAACATCAAATTTACCATTTTAACCTTTTTTTTTTTTGCAAGGAGATCAGCCCTGTGCTAACATCTGCCAATCCTCCTCTTTTTTTGCTGAGAAAGACTGGCCCTGGCCTAACATCCATGCCCATCTTCCTCCACTTTATATGGGACGCTGCCACAGCATGGCTTGATAAGCATTGAGTTGGTGCATGCCCAGGATCCGAACCGGCTAACCCCCAGCCGCCGCAGCGGAGCGCGCGCACTTAACTGCTTGCACCACTGGGCTGGCGCCCTTAACCATTTTTTAATTGTACAGTCCAGTGTCATTAAGTACATTCACCTTGTTTTGCAACCATCACCTCCGTCCATCTCCAGAACTTTTTTATTTTCCCAAACTGAAACTCTGTCCCTATTAAAGACTCACTCCCCACCCCCTTTCCTTCAGTCCCTGGTAACCACCATTCTACTTTCTGTCTCTATGAATTTGAATATTTTAGGGACCTCATATAAGTTCATTACCTTTTGAGAATTGAAATAAGTAGTTTCTTTTATGAAATAAGATATTTATAATCAGAGAGTAATTTAATTTTCCCGTAGTGGTACAAAATATTTTTGTAGAGAGTTTATTAGAGGAGATTCAAATTTTATATTTTTATAGTGGTTTTCATTTTTTTTACAGTCAAGCTCTCTCTCTCCTCCCTGTTCCCTTTTCTAGGACTCAGAATCTAAACGCTTTCCAACAAGAAATGAAGGAAAGTGTCATCCAAACTGCTCAACCAGTAAGGGGCCGACTTCAGAGACCCCGACCAAACATAAGAAAGGCTGGACAGAGACAGAGAGTAGGAAAAGGTGAAGCCAACGGCATAATTAAGGAAGAAAGAACAGTACTACAAAAAGATGAAAGTAAAAAGAAATTCCCAACAGGGGTGAGTTACTGTTATATAATTAAATCAAGCCTTTCAATGCATATTAATTTTATTTATTTTTTCCCCCAAAGCCCCAGTAGATAGTTGTATGTCATAGCTGCACATCCTTCTAGTTGCTGTATGTGGGACGCGGCCTCAGCATGGCC